GGGTGAGCGCCGACTGGAAGGCGTCCGCAGGGTAACGAACGCCTACAGACTAAAAAAAGATGAGCGGCCGCCAGCGGCGGCAGCAGGCAACACGGCGAAGACGACGGAAACGCCGAAGTCGACGCCGAGGCCAAACCAAAACTAATCAGAACCGTCCGAAATCCCGTCCGCCCGCTCGACCCGAGCCTCCACCCCCACGAGAGCGGCCTCCTCCATTCGGAGGGACGTCGACAGCAGGCAGGGAGCAGGGTCGATCGGTGCTGGGCCATCCTCCAGCAAGGCTTCGCCTGTGGACGGGTGGAGGCCTTTAGCCGCTTTGGCCAATTTTCGGTTTCGGGGCTGCTCATCACGGGTCGAGGGGACCCGGGACGGCCCCCGACATTGAGCCCTCAGAGTTCTCTCGACCTCATGAGGCAGCACCAGCACATTTAGCACAAATTAGAACACGGCCAACCTTCTGAACCGAATGACCGCGTTCATTTAAGGAACGAATGGCCACGGCCCCTTCGTCTCCCGTAGGGTTCCTAGGAGGGGGAGGGGGCGGAAGCAGACCAGTAGCCACAAGGGTTTGGCCTGTCTTCGCCAGAGCGGCAGCCTTCAAAGGCCTAGCTCGAGCCCCGCAGGAACGGAGCCACTCGTGGCCGTTTTAAGGCCGTGACCGCCGTGGGCCGACAAAACTTGGAGGGGCCATTGTACAGATGATTCAACGTGCTGGTCGTCCAAGAACCCACAAAGCACGACGCACATCGCACCTCGCCAGTAGCATCATTCTGCACGAGAGTATGTCCATGCCAGGTGAGCCGCGGCAGAGGTGGATCCTTATAAACCTCTGGGGACGGCGGGGTGTCAGTCCATCCCGTCAACTTGACAACTGCGGCAGCCGCCTAGGCAATGCAATCAACAGTGGCCCGATGGAACTTGAGATCACCCGCAACCGCCTCAGCAAACGCACGGGCAACCATGACACGGGACGAGGCCAGTTTGGCAAAAAGGTCCGCCCACGCATGGCCAATCCACGTGACAGGGTCGAGCCCTCGCCCAGAGACTTCTTCAAACTTAAGGCGCGCAGGAGTCCAAACGAAAGAGGGGTGGGGGGCATCTGGGGACCGAAGCTTGACCGTCTCGAAAACAGAACGCCATATCGCAGCATACTTCTCCACGCCACAAGCCTGCCCTTCTTGAACCAGGGAGAGCAGGTCCGACAAAAAAAAACTTCCAGAGACGGGTTTCGTCGAAGGGCGTGGAGCAGCGCGGTTCCCCCCGCCCGACCCACAGTTTGGACGGCCCCCATCCAGCGATCCGAAAACAGCCCGAACGGGGAGAAGCTGAGCATTTAATTGGACAATGGCACATCCAGCCCTACGCACCTCTGGCGCAGCTGGGGCCCGAGCGCTTCCATCTCCGAAGATGACAGGCCCCCACTCCCCACCAACGCCCCCCCACTCGCAAACCTCAGAACTCCCAGGCGGGGATTGAAGTTGGGCGGAGAGCTTAGGGAGCCCATAATTAAGGTATAAAGTGCCGCAGTCAGGATCTAGCGGGGGGGGGTCGCTCGTAGAGCACCCCGATGGGGCGCGCGACGATCACGCAAAACCTCGACCCCAGCCAGCGATTCGCTCCCGTCGGGCTGCAAGAGCGCAAGACAATTACACCAAACGTGCCCGAAATATCAATCCTTCGACTCACGCGCAGAACAGTGGGGCATAATAGTTTCCCCCGGGCGGCGAGGCGGGCAGGCGTGGGATATCGATCAGCCCGCAGACCGCGAAGTGCGCCCATCGGCGCCGCCTTCAAATCTCGAAGACCCAGACGTAGAGCCCGCTCCCAAACGGCATGGGCGCACTCCTGGAGGGGCCAGCGGTGCGTCAGTGTCTGCAACTGCCAGCGTTGAACCGCTTTCTCCAAGAATACTTGCAGACCGGCTGGCGCCACACGTAGAAGATCGAAGGTCTCTCCAAGATCGCTGCGCCAATGGCGCGGAGAGACGAAATCCCAGCCAATTCTCCGCAGCGTAAGATAAACAGCACCAAGGGGCCCTCGCACACCTGCCCAGGTAAGGCCCCCACCATTGATACGAACCACCAGGGCCTCCCAAGCGTGCCGCAGTTCATTCAGAGATACACGAGCGCCCCACACACCACAATGATACCTGCACAAAGTAGACGTCGTAGAATCAAACATTGGGTCATACCGAATCTGCCATTGACAGTATCAGTAGACCGTCTTATGTGCCTTTGGTGGCGCTCCAACCACCGTCGCGGCAACTGAACATGCCGCAGCCAAAGCGTTGTCACTCGTCCCAGACACCCCAGCACCATGAGCAACAGCAGGTTGAGCACCCGCCCTCCATAGCACAGAAGCATTCCGTCCTGCAGCTTTCTGGAACATATGTAGCCGATGACGTCGTCGCTGAGGATGCCGTAGTCGAGGCTTCTCTTGCAGGCGAAGAGGTCGTATACCCATGGTCTCATGGCCTAAGTTGCGCATCCAGCCTTGCAGCCGAAACTTGGAGCCCTTGACCAGCCGCTTGGTAGACTGCGTGCCCACGACAACGCCAGGCTTCTTTTCATTGAAGCAGGAGCCCAGGATGCGCGAGTCTCCCTGGAACAGTCTCACGGCAAGCTGTAAGGCTTGAACACCATCAGATTCAGGGCCAGCGCACTGCACCGAAACATCGTCAACAAGCGCCCGACGCACAAGATTACCATGGACTTCTCTAAGCCGAAGCAGTGCTCGTAACGTGAGAACCTCAAGCATGCTGACCGCATGCGTGCAACCTGCCCAGATTCTCTGGTCGACCTGCAGCGGCTCGGAGAAAGTGCCATACCCCTTAAGTCGACGCGGAAGACGATACATCCGCAGCAGCATGAACATCACCTTGGACTGGCAGCCAAGAGCGATGCCCTCCCTGAACAGCTGCGACGGACGGACAAGGTTGAACGCCTTGGTGAGGTCGAGCAAAACCGTTGCACTAAATTGACCTCTAAGCACAGCCATATTTGACGCTAAGTTGCGCGCAAACGCACTGTCAGACGAAGTATACCGCGAGCGGTTACCCCAAACATACTCACAACGATGATCTCGCTCCCATTGTCCGGACACGCCACGCCGAAGACGTCCCCATACTCTTTGGAAAGTGTGGACCGCCGCGATCAGCCAATGTCCTCCGTCGGCTTTCGGGATACGACACCTCAGACCATAACCTATCAGCGGGCCAATCAGGTAGCCTCTCACATGTGGCGAAGAACTGAATCATCATGCCCAGCGCCTCGTCCGATAAGTGCCACAACATTCGTGGATGCAGAGCACAGGGCCCCGTCGACGCACGCGTGGGAAAGGTCATCAGAACCCGCTGTAAAGTTGGAACATCCACAGCCGGTAGAAGAGGCAGTCCACGGCCTCAGCAGGTGGTTCCACAGGCAGGCATCCATGCCGCGCCCATACCGACTGCCAGCACGCCATACCCTTATCAGCCAAGACGGTCGGTCGCATACCCCGCGGGTCGCGGGTGAACGGGATCACCTGGCCCAGGGCCTGAACTTTAGAAATTCGATGGGCGACCGAGGCGCCGTCTTGAAAAGGCCACCCGCTGAAACGTCATCCAGGCTTGGTAGGCAGCCTTCTGGTCGCTCTTGCGCAGCGTGGTGGCCTCGCGCCCGGCCTGTTTCAAAAAGAGATTGAAAAGTAGGCGCCACCAGCACCTCCAGCCCAGACGCGAAGAAAGACTGCAGCTGCATGGGGAGGTAACTCAGCACCACGCGGCTGCGCATGACATTGGTGAGGAAGCCACTGGCCTCGTAGAAGGCCTGGAGAAGCACAGCGCACTGCTGCTGCTCAATCGTACACATCACATTGGACATCTGCATCCGAGATACCAGCGTGCGGAGCCTGTGACGCTCCCTCTGCAGATGCATCATCCATCGAAGCGCCGTCTTCCAGGCCAATGTCTGTGGCTGCTTGCGTGTGCGCCTCATTAGGGCCTGCCACGTGAGCTGCCCCCATGTGAAGCGAGGAGGCCCAGCACGCCCAGTATAGCGCCGGGCGCTGGCCCCGACCTAGTCATACCTGTTGGTCAGCTCCCGCTCCACACCGCACATGAGAGAGCCCATGCAAGCAGCAAGTCCCTGCGTGTCAGATACATCTGCAAATAACTGAGCCTCCCATTCATAAGGGTACCGAGAACAACTCCTTGGGCAGCTCAGGAACGTGCCTGCAGATTGGTACGCCCTGTGCCATCACCCGCAAATGAACTGGACCTTGTGGCGACAAGGTGGAGCCCTCGTCAACATGCACATGCGTATCAATTCTCGGATGCCAAATTTGTCGAGACAACATCTGCATGATTGTGCCAAGGTTCGCCCGTTCTCTGATGCGCACAATGCCTGCACACCCATCTCTTAGCCTTGACCGCGCTCTCCCTGGCTGCGCGGCCAGCGGGCGGTGCCATGGCCGCAGACAAGTTGCGAGAGACGCAATGGTCGCACGTGTACACGGACGGTGACCTGGGGCGGACCAGGCACCACAATGGAAGTTGTCGGGCCCAAGGCCCTGGCACTGCCGCGGACTAGCGGTATCCACTTGGTTCCTTGTGAACCTCATAGTTTTGAGCCGAAATGGCTACGGAGGAGAAGAGAGAAGGGTGAGGGAGGAGTTCAAGAGTGAGGGCGGGATCCAGGGAGCGCAGGATGAGGGGGGGGACGAGACTCTTCATTCAGCGTCGCGAAAAAGATCGTGACGGCACACTGGGCCACTGGGGGGTATCGGAGGGGGGGGGATGAGAACCCAGATCCTTTCGCGTCGTGCACAAAATTCATAATTTTCGGCTTCATGGGGCCCTTACCGGGACCGTCAACAAAAGTCTTGTCCGCATCGATTCGAGCATCGGCGGGCTGCACCGTGGCGGGTTACGACGGGTGGGCGCCAACAAAAAACATGTCGGGATGGCAAATTTGTCCGGGGACGAGGTCGAGGCCTCCAGGAGCACCACGACGAGGCACGACGGCACGGGTTGTGCGTGACACGCAGCGAGGTCAGAGCTTCGATGATCGAGGCTTTTGGGTGCTGTGTTGCCTTTGGGGTGCCTCTGGGAGGCTTCTCCTCGCCACGGCTGGAGCCGCTTTCGCACCCTGCTCAGAGCGCACACCAGGATTAAGTCGGGCGTGTCCCTCTGAAGGAGGAACATTCAAAAATGGTCGAAAGGTAGTCTGGGGGCGATTTTCCATCTTTTCAAACTATGTTTGCATGTGTTTGGGATATGTTGTTTTTTCGTCCAAAGTCCTCCTGTAGGAGGACATGCCCGACCTAACACCAGGAGAGGTCCCGGGGTCGGTTTTTGATGGCGTCGGCGCAGACGGCGGCGGGGGCGGCGCTCGAGGCGTCACCAGAGGGAGTCCAGCGCCGATCCAAGAAGCCCGCGCGGACCTCCGAAAGCTCATGTTTATGCAGTCGTTCTGCTCCCCCCGGGGACGAGCCAGCAGTGCCCAGTATACAAACGGGGTCGTCTGCGCCGACATTGGCGCGCAAGCTTCCCGCGTAAGCGGCGTAAGGTCGCTATGTCGTCTTGCGTAAAACCCCTCTCCTTGGCATGGCTAGGGCGTGCGCATCTTGTCTCAGCGAAGACCATTGAGGAGCATCCTGGATCATATTGCGAGAAGAAGAACACACGGAACCGAAAAATGCACGAGGGATGGAGCACGTCAGTTCAAACAGCGCTTGGGGGCAGCTGCAATTGGAGCTCTGGAGGAGGGTGGCCTCCATCATCGTCAGCACCAGCATCAGCATCATAATCAATGAAAGAGCGTGTTCTACCGCTGCTGGCGGAAAACCGGGGGGGGTCACTACCGGTTCGAACCCCTCCCCCCCCCCTCCCCAGTTCATCATGAAAAGCGGGGGGGTCCAGTTCGAACCCTCCCCCCCCCCTCCTCGAGGGGGGTCACTACCGGTTCGAACCCCCCCCCCCCTCCCGAAAACCGATGGGGGTGCGGACAGTGGTGGGGACGGTGTGGTGGGGACAGTGGTGAGGGGACAGCGGGACAGTGGGGACGTGGGACAGTGGTGGGACAGTGGTGGGGACAGTGGTGAGGACAATGGTGGAACAGTGGGGACAGTGGACAGTGGTGGGGACGGTGGTGGTGGGGAGTGGTGTGGGGACAGTGGGAATGAGGTGGAAACAGTGGGACAGTGGAGGGTACAGTGGTGGTGGGGACAGTGGTGAAGGCGGTGGCGAGGACGGCGGTGGGACAATGGGACAGAGGTACAGTGGGGACAGTGGTGGGGACAGTGGGGACAGTGGTGGGAACAGTGGGACAGTGGGGACAGCGGAGGAGAGTGGGGTGGGGACAGTGGGGACAGTGGGCAACCGTGGTGGGAACAGTGGTGGGGACAGTGGGGACAGTGCGACAGTGGTGGGGGCACTGGTGGGGACAGTAGGGACGGTGGTGGAACCAGTGGGGACAGTGGTGGTGAGGACAGTGGTGCTGGGAACAAAGTGGGGGATGTGGCGCGGACGGTGGTAGGGACCGGGAGTCGTTTGCTGGCGGTGAGTGGGGGGGGTGGGGAGGGGTTCGAACCGTAGTGACCCCCCCTCGGTTTTCGAGGGGAGGGGGGAGGGGGGTTCGAACCGGTAGTGACCCCCCCCGGTTTTCGAGGCGGGGGGGGGGGGGGGGGGGTTAGGGGAGGGGGGGGGGGGGGGGTTTGGGGAGGGGGGGGGTTTGCGGGGGAGGGGAGGGGGGGGGGGGGGGGGTTCCAGCAGGGGGGGGGTATTTTCGGAGAGGCGGGGGGGGAACCCCGGGCTCCGGAGGAAAAAGGGGGCAATTTTCCACAGTAAAGCGGCGGTGGATCACGCTCTCTCTATCAATAGTACCATCATCATCACCATCATCCTCATCAGCATCATCACCACCGTCGTCACATTCATCACCGTCATCATCGTCGTCTTCATCGTCATCCATACCATCATCATTGATATCACGTATTAGCACCATCATCTGAATCACCTACACTATCGTCCTGACCATCATCAACATCAGAATCACCAGCATGGTCATCATCATCAGCATCACCATCGTTAACAGCATCATCAGCATTATCATCATCCTCGTCATCATCATCGTGGTCGTCGCCCCATCCTCCCCATCATCATTAACAGCATCAGCATCATCATCGTCATCGTCATCAGCATCACCATCGCTGCCACCATCAGCATCAGCATAATCATCGTCGTCAGCATCATCGTCATCAGCATCAGCATCAGCATCATCATCGCTACCACCAACAACATCATTAGCATCATCATCATCATCATCGTCATCACAATCATCAGCATCACTAGTATCATCCTCATGGAGAATTGCCTCCATTCGTTAGCCTCCGTTTCCTGGACGGTGGAGACGAAGAAGGAGAGATCGCAGCCGAAGAGGACGCAGACGAAGACCCCGAACCTTCAGCCTAAGCTGCCGTGGGCGACGCCCCCGCTTGGACGTCCGAGCGATCGCAAGTTTCTTTTCGTCGCCGCCGCAACCCCACCGCAGCACGCAGCCGTCCGCGGCCAGCGTCCCCGTCTGCCCGGGCCTGCCGCACCTGCACGAGGAGGAGGAGGAGGAGGAGAAGGAGGAGGAGGACCAGCTTTAGCCCAAGACCCATCAAAGATGTTGGAATAAACCCTCCCTCCAAGCTCCGTCTTCACAGGCCCCTGCAAGGATTCATTTCCACTGAGGGAAGTACCCCGTTGGGAGACAACCTTTTGAAGACCCTGAAGCGTGCCACAACACCATTCTCGGGGCTTCAACGCCACGAATCAACGTGACTCTTGCTGAATCGCGCAAGAACGCCATTCTTGGAACTGCAACACCGCGAATCAATGTAATTGATGCGCCCTTAAATCCGGAATCGCTCCAAAACACCATCTCTGGTACGTTGACCATGGGACTTTGCGAAACGCTTGAAAACGTTTAGAACGAATCTGCGCGGCGCTGAGGCGAGAGCCACATTTTGAAGACGAACCGCCCTCAATCCGTGAAACTCTTGCAACTGTGTAAAATAATTGTGCGCAGCGCTAGGCCGAGAGCTATATTTTGAAAACGGCCTGCCCTCCACCTGTGAAACTCTTGCAATGTTCTAAGAAACGAATGTGCGCTGCGCTAACGCGAGAGACACATGTTGAAAACCACCCGCCCTCCAGCCGTGAAACTTCTGCAACGGCCCAAGACGAATGCGCGCGGCGCTAAGGCGAGAGCCACACCTGGAAAGACGCCCAGCCTACATCCGTGAAGCTCTTGCAACTGTTCAAAACGAATATGCGCGGCGCCAAGGCGAGAGCCACATTTTGAAAACGATCCGCCCTCAATCCGTGACACTCTTGCAACTCTAAGAACGTATGTGCGCGGCGCTAAGGCGAGAGCCACACTGTGGAAATGATCCACCCTCCATCTGTGAACCTGTTGCCCATGTTTAAGCTTCAGGGTCATGACTGGTGAGGGAGTCTCGCGCGAAACGCTTGGCCCGCCATTTCGACCGGCCTCGGGGCGCGAAAGGGAGGATTTATTCACAAAGAAAAAGAACGGAGGCAGGAGGAGGAGGAGGAGGAGGAGGAGGAGGAGGGAGAGGGAGAGAGGGAGGGAGGGAGGGAAGACGGACCAGGAGGTCTGGCTGACCGGCTAGCTGGCAAATAAGAGGAAGAGGAGGAGAAGATGGGTGGGCAAGCAAAGAGGAGGAGGAGGAGCAGCAGCAGCGGCTCCAGGCCTTTGGCGGCGCGAACAAAAAGCGCGCCCGAGGTTCATGGCAACTGACTGTCGGCGTCCAGGAGCCCGTCCCGGGGCCCCGGGCAGCTGCCGAGGAGCGGCTCGGGGCGAAGAGAGGGCCCATGAGACGGGCTCGGGAGATCCAGCGGCTGGCGGCTCGAAGGGAGCGAGCCATCGGAGATCTGGCGCGAGGAGGAGGAGGAGGAGGACGACGACGAGAACGAGGACGAGGAGGGAGGACCCTCGCGTACCCATCAGAGTATGTTGCTACGAGCCTCGGTCAAAATGTGGCCGAGGATACAATCAACAACGGAGGTCCAGAGCAAGCGTCGGGCCCCCTCATCGTAGGTCAACGTGTCTCGCATCCACTGTGGCCCGAGCTCACGCACTCCGCTCAGGCGACGCTGCAGTTGCCACACGTCTCGTTCTTTCATACGGGTTCGATAAGGCCCGTCGCCCACATGCCAAGAAAATCAGTTTGCAATCCTCGAGGAACAGGGCATCAAACTAAGCACTCTGTCGTGTGCCAGAGGAGCATCCTTGACCCTCCGGCTCCATGGCTGCCCTGATTCGCCCGTCTTGAAACGCAACACGTGCCGTGTTCAAAACGTCCGTGTTAACACGTTGCGTGTTGGCTCAGTCAACTTGCTGGGCCACGTTTTGGCGAACGTATCGCGCCAAACGTACGTGTTCAATCTGCTTGCTGAGCTCCGTGTCAACACGCTACGGGCCGCGTGTTGCGCATCGCGGCAGCCAAGTCCGGCTCACGGCGGAAGCGGGTCCCAGTGGACGTGGGCCCCCCCAAAAGGACTTGGCCTCCTCGTCCCGAGCCGTGGGCCCAGGGAGGGCCCCGAGAGCTCGAAAAGCACGGAGCGCTTCAGGCTCCTCTTCCTCCATCGAGGAACAAAAAAAGGGCATGCCTCTTCTGTCGCAGCGCGGCAGAGGCGATCCGCACGCGCGCTCTAGTGAGCCGGGCTATGGCAAGCACTGGCTGTCTGGCGGCAAGAGTGGGGGACCGAGGCGGGGCGCGGCCGCGGAGGGCGGAAGAAGAGGGAGGGTACTCGCAGCACGAAGAACTTCGACTGGAGTGGCCAGGGCGGCAAAACGGCATACACAACCTTGACATCAGTTTCTTCAGTTTGCGATGGCGAAGGTATATCCCATCCCTCTGAAGATTCCGAACATCACATGATGCTGGCGTCATTCGGCGGAGTAGTTTCCGATCCGCCTGAAACTTTTAGCTCTGTTACCCCAAGACCAGATCGGAAACCACTCTGGGCCACACCCTGTAATGGATTGAGCGGGATGCGCCCGCGCGCGGAGTAGTTGGAGCATTATTACTCCTAACTCTTCCGCCGTGCTGCTCTACTGGCGAAGGCAGATTCAAAGAAACTCTCGCCACGGTGATGTAAGCATACACTTTCGGAGTTCCGCGCGGATTTGTTGGACCTTCGGTGGGCACCCCTGGCGGCGCCTCCAGCGCCGCACCTGGCGCGCTCCGCGCGCCAGGGAGGGGGGCTCAGCGCAGATCCAAGAAGTCCACGCGAACCTCCGCAAGCTCATGTTTGTGCCGTTGTTTGTCTCGTGTTGTTTGTGTGTTTGTGTGTATGTGTGTTGTCTTTTGTGTGTTTCGTGTGCTTGTTGTGTTTGTGTGTGTTTTTCCCACAGTTTGTCTGTATGTGCTCGTGTTTTTGGTGTGCGCATGTGTTTTTGTATGTTTTTCGTGTGTGTGTGTGTGTGTGTGTGTCTTTTCGAAAAGCTTCCCTCCCGGGCCTCTCTTCCCTTCGCCTCGGTGGCGCGACCCGGGGCCTCCCCCTCCCCCGTCGGCGACTCGGCGCCAGGGCCCCCGCCGCGGCGTCTCGGCACAGGAGCGCCCGGTGCGCGCCTCCCCCGCCGCGAAGATGAGCTCCGCGAGGGTTGCCATGGCCGGAGGGGCTGCCCGACAGGCCCTTCGGGGCGCGATGGGCGCGAGGAGGAAGAGGGAGGAGGAGGAGGAGGAGGAGGAGGAGGAGGAGGAGGAGGAGGAGGAGGAGGAGGAGGAGGGAGGGGGAGGGAGGAGGAGGAGGAGGAGGAGGAGGAGGAGGAGGAGGCTCTCTGCTTTGCTCGGCGACGGCTTGGCGCATGGCGTGCTCGGCACCGCCCTGACTGACTGGAACTGTGGCAACCGCGGCCTGGGACCAGGCCTGTGCAACCACAGAACAGGACAGGGCAACGATCAAGCAGGAAGGTCTGCCCCCTCGCACCAGAGCCCCACGGGGCGGGGGACAGAAGAAGAAATATCAGTGTGAAGCTCACCTCCTGGAGCATTCCAGGGCGCACGCTGCACAAGCAAGCGAGCCGTCTTCCTCGCACGGGCGGCCTCTCTCTTAAGTCGGATGAGGCCGAGCTGAGCCTCTGTCAGAACAAGAGGAGGAGGGGGAGGGGGGGAGGCGAGGCGGACGAGGGATCGAAACGAGGAGGGGAGGAGAAATGGACAGGAACGGCGGGTGCCGCCTCCTGCTCCAGCGCGTCCACGAAAGCCTGCTCTTCCTGCGCCTCTACCTCCGCGGGCAGGATGGGAGCTGAAGGCTCATGCCGCTGCAACGGAGGGGGAGGGGGATTGGACACACTAGACACCTCCTGAATTCTGAAACGATCTCTCTCGGGGTCGGCCTTGCGACCCTTGCGCCTTCTAGGCTCATAATCTGGAGTCTCTGAGAAATGTTGGTCCCCGAGATCCGAAACATAAAAATCGAGCAAACCGCGACGGAAGTCCTCTGGATCAGCACCATCGACGAAATCCATTTCATCGTCGCACACAGCAATCATGTCTCTGAGAGAACAGACTATACTGGAAGCTATGGCCTGAGACAGTCCTGTAGAATAAGTCTTCTTGGCAGCAGTCCTGAAAGTTCCGTCGGAAGCTTTGCCGAGGAGGATACTGTGGGCGTCATGCCCGTGGGAGCATCTGCCCTTGCCTGGGGCGTCCTGGAGATAGGAGGGGAGTGAGGGCATGCGCAAGCCGATCAGGCGACGGGGGGCTCTGGCTACAGTGTCCCAAAGAGTGTCTGTTGGGAGGTGCTCGCATTGGTCGAAATCCACGGCACATGAGCGAGGAGCAGACACAAGAGCCACTAGCGGGAGCCAGCGGAAAGAAGTGGGAGCGTCAGCTATCCACGTGGGAGGGAGAGGATGCTCCATCCATCCGCTGGCGCCAGCCGCCCATATGGGCGTCTCAAAGGCGAGCGAGAGCGTGCAACAGCTGGGAACCAACAGAAACCTGGAGGCCTTGGCGGGCCGTGCACCAGGGGACTCCCCAAACATGTTCCTGGGTCCGCAGAGGGGGGGGGGGGCCCTTCGCACCACCACGCAGCACTCCACGTCTCGCAGGGAGCCCCCCCCCCTGAATTGAGAACTCTCCTGGCACGCATGTGTCCTAGCCAGTCGTTAATGACCGAGCCTTGCGTGAGGACGCGCCTCCGGGGGTTCATGGCAACATCTACAGACAGACCGTGTAGGCTGAACGGGGGGAGGAGAGCCAGCTAATTCCAGAAATCTCAGGGCAGCCTCAGAAGTGAACGCAGAGCCCTCCAAGGTCAGGATCTCCCGAGCTTCCTCCACTGAGAGCTTAGAGACTAGATCCTTCTGGAACTGGGAACTGGCAAGACCTGGCTGTCGGGCTGCAGGAAATTCTGGACTCCATCGGCCACGGCCCGCATCTCTTTGCTGCCTGGCAGCCTCGTGGTCAGCACTGCTGAGAGCTCGGCATGCTTTCGTAGAACAAACTCTCGGCTCGCCCAGGAGAGACACTGCATACTTTGGCGAGTCAAAAGCAATGTGCTCCGCCAGTGCCCTTCTGGACGCAAATCTCATGTGGCACATGCTGCAAGTAGTTGCGTATCCCAGTATCCCTCGGACCTGTTCGATGTGTTGTATGAGCCCTTTGGATCCCATGGAGGTTGAGGGGCACGACATGCACGTGTACTTGGGGGTCTCGGCAATATGGGCAACTCGTAGGGGGTGAGCGTCATCAAATACTGGCTTAGGAACTCCAGAAGAGAATAACTCCTCGAGTGTGGTTTTTGTCGGAAATCTCTGCGGCCATCATGCGGCCTGCGTGCTCTACTTGGGACCTGAGGGCGGACCTGACAATGGTTTCCCATCAAAGGGCCGATTGTTTTACTCGAACCTCCCGAGCGAAACGGCCCTCCGAAGGGTCAGGCATCTTGTGGCACTTGTAGGCAAAGCAAACTTCGTGACCCACTTGAGGTCTCGGATGATCTGGTGTACCCAAGACTCCTCGGATTCCAAAAAGCATGCACTAGCTAGAGCAACCAGATGATCTGGCCCTGCGTGCTGGAGACGGCCAAAACGGCGGAGTCGATGAGCAGCCAATGCTGTCCCAAGACATGGCCTCTCCACTTGGGCAAGGATATGATGATTAGGGGCTGTTTCGCCGTCGTTCCTGGGCCTGCGTACCACTGCTCGGCACATCGGCACCAAGTCGTTGGATAGAGAAGCATGTTGAGCAGCGGTGAGCTCTGGCCATGTGCCTGCGTTGAAGAGCCTGGCTGAGCACATGAGTGAATCCACAAGGATAAGGCCCACGGAGCTGTCGAGGTCTGGAACTTTGAGAACCCGTCGGAGAGCCTTCCATGAGGGCATGATGGCCTGCATACGATGAGCCAGCTCTGGGCCCATAGAGCCCCCTTCGTCCAGAACAGCGCCTAGGTGCGTATACTGCCGAGCGGCAAACAAAGAGATGGATCCAAGATGTCTGGTGGGAACTGCGAATTCACCTTTCATGTCCCTCCACAGCTTCAACTTGGCACCTATGGCTCCTGTGCCTCGGAATTGAAAAAGCACTGCACCTTTGCCCGTGGCCGCTCGCAGCTGCATGCCGTGTTCAGCGGATGCGTCGAAGATTGTGGCAGCGATAAATGGAGCAGATTGGAGCACGCGCTCGGCCTTGCCCATTAACATGAACAGAGCGCCATCGAAAAAGGCAAGGCCCATAGAGTGCCCGAAATAAGTGACGTATCCTAGCATGTTGGCGTGTAAGGAACCTCCGGCTGCCGTCGGAAACCTGACCTCGACCTCGAGCTGTAGTAACCTGTGCTGGACTCTTTTCATGATGGCCCCCATGACATAGTTGAAAACGACGCCCCCTCAACTGCTGCCCATGACCAGAGCCGATCATGGGGAAAGGCAGGGAATCACCTCCAGGAAGCGCAAACCACGCGGCATCGTAGGCGTCGGCAAGTTGGGCGCGCAGCCTCTCAGGTAGGTTGGGAGCCTCGAAAATGGGGGGGGGGGGGGGCAGTGATGTATTCCGAAAGCTCGTGTCGCGCTTCTGGGGAGAGACCTGTTTGGCGGAGTATATGGGCAACAGCCTCGTCGGAGCTGGCCGTCCGAGAAAAAGAAACAACAACAACAACAAAAAAGCTCTCGCACTGATTTACAAGAAGCTTGCACCGCGTCCAGCGGGAGAAAGAAGGCCGCGAGCTGCCTGGCCTTGGCCAACTGCTGGAATAGTCTGAGCTCCAAGGCCCCCAGGTCGACCCCAAGTCCAGCAACTCAGCCATACTGGCGAGGCCCCGTGTGGGCCGGGAGGTGGGGAGCTATGTTGGCTCTGGGAAGCGCCCGGGACCTTTTGCCCAAGTGGGAGGAGCCAAGAATGTTGCGATAGCAATGTTGGTCCCCAGGATCTCTTTTTTGAATAGCGCCCAATAGTATCCCCTTTTCCATTGCAGTGGTTCTTGCACTCTGAGGAAAGACTTCACGACCAAGGGGAAGAGGAGGTGCGATATGGGCTTAATTAGCTTCTTGACCATGACCCCAGTGATACCGTCGGCACCTGCTGCTGTGCACTTGGCATGTCGGCCAGCTCTCTCCACAGATGCTGCTGTTGGCACATCGGCCAAGTGAAAAGAACATCTTGCATCAGCTCGTCGGGCAGGTGGCCAATCTGCCCTTCAAACCATTCCAGATCAGAAAAGGGCATGACAGGAGCTTCTTCGATACTGGCAAAATGAGTCCAAACTTGATTGGCTTGTTTTTCTGACGTGGCTGGCTGCCCGTCAAATCCAATGAGAGTGGGGAGGTGCTGCGAGCGAACTTTCTTTCTCGAGCAAGCTCCCACTGCGTGGAGGCGGCGGAAAGCTTGGCCATGTGCGCGCGTCTGGACCATGCGCTATGGATGGCCTTAGCGATGCCGACAAAGTGATTCTTAGCGCCCTTCTGGACTAGGAGATCAACGTGCCTGGTGAGAATAGCTATGCAGCACGACCGCAACTCCAAGGTGTAATGTTCAAATCACCGATGGCAGTCAGAACCGCAATCGCTTTGAAACCACATAGCTGAAGACGAAGTTGGCCTTCAAGGGCCCCGGGGGGAGCCAGCGTTGACGGGGGCTTGCGCGTAGGGCCTCTGAAGGGCCGCCCTGTTCTCCAGGTATGGAGCTCCATAGCGAGCTTCCCCCAAGACACCGCCACCTCATCCGTGCCTTCCCAGACGCGAAGCCAAAGACGAGCACGAAATAGCAACGCAAGCCAGGTAGGAGATGAGGTCGGGAAAGATCTGGAGGAGAAGACGATGGTATGTCGGCGCAGACAAAACCAAGACCCACCCGTCGGCGTAGCCCAAACTCTGAAACATGTCCCGAGCCTGACCTCTGCCCATCGAGTATTGAACTGCCGGAAATTACGGAGCATCTGAGTGCGCCTGTCCATAGCGTTGAGCGTGTCGAAAGAGATCCACGACTGTCGAGGTCGCCTCTCTTTTGTCTGCCGACATGGGAAGGCGATCGGCAGAGCTTGATGCAAACAAATACGACTTCTTGGCAGTGATCGTCAACGTGCACAGAAAAGTCAAGTTTAGACGCGTGCTGGAAAACGTACTGCGTGAAACGCAGCTTGGCCGTAGGATCGTCAAAAACAGCTTCGTCACATCTGATACGTGGGTCACTGCTGTTGCTGTGATTGTCTTCCTTGGCCAATGGGAAACGTAGGCAGGCATGAACTGGTTTATTATCCATCCAACTTATCCATTACCTCTGCGCGAATGGCATCAAAGCCCCTGGAACAGCATGTGTAGCCTATGCGACGTCGCTTGTAAGTAGTAGCTGCAGTAGCTTGCCCAGATGGGGAGAACCACGTGGAGCCTGAGGAGGACGTAAGGAGCACTGTAGAAGGGGCCCAAAGCTGCCTGTCCAGAAGCATGTCGTGGAACATGCTGCCCGTGAAATTCTCCTGTTCCGCCTGATGACCTCCAATGGCCTCCGACGTCCTAGTTCCGACGCGCCCGTTGGCGTCCATGAGGTACAGCTCGGGGACGGCGGGGTCAAAAAGCTGGCGAAGCCTATGGCGCAACTCTGTCCACCATGACTGTATGGTGTCGTGTCCAGCAGCACTGTGAGGACCGTGTCCTGCTAAGATGTTGGCTTGAAAGATGCCGCACCTGATGGAGACGAGCAATGCTCTGGGCGATGCAAATAGAACTTTGCAGCGTTTGGATGTGATATGTTGGGAATCGTAAACAGTAGCCGGTGTGTTGACCCAGAGCGCGCACCCGAACCTCTTGAGCTCGTCCCTCGCTGCATGTAGGACAATGTAGTCCCCGACCCGAGACATTCCACTGCGAGGATATCTGGTTTCCACCGTGCCTGCAAAGAAAATATTGTGCTTGGCGAACTGTCGGCCCAGGTAGGCCATGCGACCTGGCATGAATAAGCCCGAGGTGCGTTTAGATGTTTGGGCCCTCGGATCAAGTGTGAGCACGTTGGCAGCAACCACGTTGAGGGCCCTGGAGGCTCCTGAACAATCCCCTGCTGGTGGAACCCTGCTGAAGGCACTAGAGCTCGAGGCACTTGGAGACGTAGGCGGGGCCAGTTGGGCGAGCCGGAAGCGCGATGGAAGAGACTCTGGTAACGTAGGTCCATGGTTGGGTGGGAACTGGGCACGGTACTCAATAGGCATGTTGTCTAGCCAGGCCCAGTTGATCTGGTCGAGCTGAGCTTCCACCGCCCTCCAGGCGTTCGAAAGCTGACGAAAGTGATGCAACCCAGCTGAAGCAAGCGTGCAGAGAGCGTCGGCCAGCTCATTCCATGGGTGTGCCTGATGGCCGCCGATGTGGGAGCAAAGAAACGTCCTCACGCGGGCACGTACGATACGGCATACCGTCCAGGAGTCTCCGTTGATAAATAAGAGATCCACGGACAGCGCCCCCCTCGAGCACTGAAATGACCTCCATGTTGTGTCTGTGTAGAAGCAAACGTCCCAGGAGTCCAGGATACTATGCTGTAGGAGCCAAGCTAGGGCCCATTGGGCCGCAAGCAACTCAGACATGAAAGAATAATGCTCGGGGCCGACGTCGATCGGATCGAACGTGTGAGCATTGAAACCAACCAAAGCGAGTCTCGAGTCGATATCTCCCGCGATAACCACGCAGGCCCAACTGGGGGGTCCCTTGGCAGCATGAAAGGCTTTACCAGGGCGGAGTTCTGGACATGATAGGTTCGAAGATCACCCACCAGATCCGTCCACGCATATATGCACACGAGACCAATCGCCGATGTCGGAGATGGGTCGGAGTCTTGGCAGCGCCTGAACAGTAGAGGAGTGTAGGAAGTGACCCAACTCGAAGAGATTGGAATCCATGTCGGTGCCTTAGTAAGGGTCTCCAGGGCCTCAGTGGTATCCGGGAGGAGGCTGCGATAGCATCCTCTGGTAGGGCAGGTACCCAGAGGGGTGTTTGGCATGGGTCCCGAGTGGGGCAATTGTTGGTTGCCCGAAGAGTCCCGATTCACGAACTCACCGCTGCGCCACTCGGGTCGGTAAAAGGCTGCTGAGACTGCGTCGGTGGAGATGCAGGCTCGTGAGGCAGTGTCTGGCTCTTGGGGGCCGGCTCCTGCTTTGAAATATCGAAGACTGCTGCCCGACGACACGATCTGCCCTCCCCTGCTGCTGGTGGAGGCGACGTAGCGGCACTTAATATCGGCCAGGAAGGGGTCGTTGACCTGGCACCTGCGGTATGTCCTTCCAGGATTGCTGCATATGCTGCTGCGTCTGCTGCATCTGCTGCTGCTGTGACAGCTGCTGCTGCTGCTGCGGCTGCTGGGGAGCTCGGACAGCGCTCAAAGCGGCCATGGCTGCTCTGTCGCTGTCCCCGAGGTGAGGTAGACCATCCTCGTCCGTCCCGACTGGTACGATGGTTGCTGTTGATGTCGCTGATGCTGCAATAATAGCTGCTTGCGACGGAGCCGCTGGATGTGGGGCCCTTGCGGGCGCTGCTGCTGCTGCTGCTGCTGCTGCTGCTGCTGATGCTGGCGCTGCACTCGTGAGAACCACTTGTAACTGTCCCAACTGCGCAGTGAGCATCGCTAGATGAGAGCTTAGGTCTGCCTGCCCGTTCTGTAAGTCGGTGATTGTTTGAGGCAGGGATGATGTAGGCTGCTCGATGTGACTGGCTGAGGGTGGAGATGGGAGAAGGGGGACTGCGTCTTAGTCCCCGTCTGTGGCACATGAGCTGCCTGCGCGAACGGGGAGATCACGGTATTTTCGCCACTGGTATGTTGGCGGGAGATTTGGTCGACCTCCATGAACGGGTTCGCCCTGCGATGTTGCTGAGACTTGCTGCTGGAAACTGCCTCGGCCTCTGCTGCTGCTTGGGCCGCCTGAGCTGAGATCATGTCCTCCTCCTGCTGCTGCGTTGCCTTGAAGAAATCGAGGAGCTCCACCGCGACATCCATGTCGTGAAGCAGCTCGTGCTTCGCCTGGGTCGCGGCTGTCAGCGCCGCACGTGCTTGAGCCTCTGAGGCTTCGGCGTCGCTGACTCTCTTCCTGGCACGCTCGACGTACAGCTGCTGATTCAATGTTCTGTCCTTGGGAGGGAACGCATTGATGAGCATGAAAAGAAATACTGCGTATTCGTCCTCTAGTTCCGCAATCCCTCCTTCGTCCGCTGCCATCGCTTTGGTGCTCTTGATCTGAGTCTCTAGAGCCACGAGATTCGTGCGGAGCTGGGTATGGAAGGCAGGCAGGTCTTTGTGATCTGTGGGCGAGTCGAT